AGCTAAAACAAATGTTATTGGCTCATAAAGAGCCTGTTGAGAGAAAGGGGTATACTAAGAAGAACATTGAAACTAGAATCAGTGGGCCAAATTTGTAATGAAGTTCTCATTTCTAATGTATTTGATAAGTCCTCCCTTGACTTTCAGTTGCCTTATCTGAGGTAAATGGAGAAAATGTTAACATCTCTTTCAAGTAACTATAATAAAGATTAAATGATAAACATATAGCTATAACTAAAACATTAAACACCCACTTTTACATGTGAATCTTAATAAGCAATAAAAATACAAATTAAAGTACTTATATATTTCACTGGATTACCTGATCACACTTCTATTAAATAACCACCATAGCATCTTCAAGATCTAGGTAGGTGTTAGTTAGAAAGGTTAAATTATGGCTGGGTGTGGTGGCTCATGCCTGTAATGCCAGCACTTTGGGAGGCCAAGGTGAGTGGATCACAAGAAATCACAAGGTCAAGAGATGGAGACTATCCTTGCCAACATGGTGAAACCTCATCTCTTCTAAAAATACAAAAATTAGCCAGGCATGGTAGTACACACCTGTAGTCCCAGCTACGTGGGAGGCTGAGACAGGAGAATCACTTGAACCCAGGAGGTGGAGGTTGCAGTGAGCTGAGATTGTGCCACTGCACTCCAACCTGGCGACAGAGTGAGACTCTCTCAAAAAAAAAGAAAAAAAAAGGTTGGATTATATTTTGGGCACTTCTAAAACAACAGGGGCTGTTACGCTATTAGGGTTATCAATCTCCCTCAAAAGCTGACCCTTCTAGGCTCCCACGTATTAGCTCTGAGTATTCTGGCCTCAGACTGAGGAGTTAAGGAGTGAGAACTTTACCCAACAGGAAGCCAAAGACCACTTCTATAAGGGCATCAAGCTGAGTGCATGGCATATGCTTCATAAACAGAGGGTAAATTGAACTGGGTTCCCAAGGGCCCTGGATTTCCTAAACGGCAGACTCTAAGACTTACTGTTCTGTGGAATCAAGCAATGGATGGAAATGTGGCCATGCCTATAAGACAGAGACACGCGTGTGGAATTGAGACAGAACTTTTCAATCTGGTCCCTCTCCTTTGTTCCATAGCCCACTGAGCTACAAAAGACCTCCTAGGAAGAAACTGCTCAGCTTTCTTTGCAATGGCTGGCCATGCCAGAAAGAGAGGCCTTGAATCATCTCATCACCTGGTCAGCAGGAACTATTTATGCCAAAAGTAGCTTAGAAAGAAAAGTGTCCGTTTCTTAATTTCATCTTTCTTGCTAACATTTACAGTCCAAAACAAGTACAATCTGAATTTCAGACTTAGGTTTCTGACTTGAGGAAAAAAACAAAGAAATTATCAACTTCAATTCATGTAGGTATAATTAGTGCCTTTCCCCCCTGCAATGGTTCAATGTACTGGGTAGTTCTTCTTTTGTGAGTTCTTACAATCTCAGAAATATTGTTAGGGCATAGGCGAGGGAGTCTCAAGAAAGCTAGAGATCCTGGTTGAGCTAGTGGGGCCAGACAATGGGCCACTGATGTTAATGGGATTTCACTGGCATCCAGGGATTGCAGAGGCCTAATATCTCCTTCTGTGGTTGTTGGAAGAGGGCAAGGAAAGGGACTGTACCCTACTTACTCTATAGTCAGTTATGTATGCACTCATTTATTCATTCACCTGTCATTTATTGAGAACCTTTTTGTGTGCCTGGCACTGCACTAAGAAAAAAGTTTTAAAGAACAACTTTATAGAATAGAGTTATCTTTTTAAAGAGAACAGGAAACTAGGCTGAAATTATGGGGCCTGTAGAAAGAGGAAGAAAAGACAGCCAAGGCCTAAAGAGTAGCATTGGGACAGAAAAATTGAAAGCTCTCTTGGGTTCTGTGGCATAGAAAAGTTACAGGACTTAACTAAGATCATACAGATCTTTGAAGTCAGAGCCTGGCCTAAAATCCAGCCTGAGTGCCTTTCAGATGACTTCAAGAAAACTGAAAAGTGAAAAGAATTCAGACCTCGGAAAGAAAAACATCTTGATTTCTACCCTGTTTCACCTTCAGTTACTTTAGAACTAAACCTCTCTGAGCTATAGTATTTCATGTAAAAAACTGTGATTAAAAAATACTCATTGTAAAATGAGGTTACTATAGGATTGAAATACATGCTGTGATTTCTACTACAAGAAAGATGGAGTAGTAAAGTCCAGATTTTCTTTCCCAGTTGATACAAGACAAAATACATGAAACAATGGTTTCCTTTTTTTGTTTTTGTTTTTTTTTTTGTTTTTTCTGAGACAGAGTCTCACTCTGTCACCGAGGCTGGAATGCAGTGGCACCATCTCTGCTCACTGTAACCTCTGCCTACCAGAGTCAAGTTATTTTTTTTCTCAGCCTCCCAAGTAGCTGGGATTACAGACATGTGCCACCATGCCCACCTAATTTTTGTATTTAAGTAGAGACAGGTTTTCACCATGTTGGCTAGGCTAGTCTTGAACTCCTGACCTCAAGTGATCCACCTGCCTCAGTTTCCCAAAGTGCCAGTACAGGCGTGAGCCAGTGCGTCCAGCCTGAAACAATGGTTTTCGAGACACTGGACATCAGGCAAAAAAAAAAAAAAACCAAAAAACTAAAAACAAAACAAAAAACCAATAATCCCTGAGAGAAGGGAAAGAAATGAATGAGATGAGCCCTATGATTGAGACAAGTTACTGCCTTGAGAGAGTTTCCAGATCATGGCCCAGCAAGTGGAAACTGACATGCAACGAGTTGTAAAGACACAGCCGAAAGTCCCGAGAGACCAACCAATCTCTGCTTTTACTAGAAAGAGATGAAAGAAGGAAGGGAGGAAGGAAGGAAAGAAAGAGAGAAGGAGGGAGGAAGGAAGGAAGGAAGGAAAAGAAAGAAAGAGAAAGAAAGAAAGAAAGAGAGAAAGTAGTCAAGCAAAAAATTACATATATGATTTCATCAATGTATAATTCTGGAAAATGTAAACTAATTTGTAATGACAGGAAGCAGACCACTGGTTATCTAAGGACAAGACTTGGGATGGGAAAAGTGGGATGAAGGGATTACAAGGAGCATAATGTAACTTTGCATAATGTAACTTTGTGGAGTGATGGATATGTTTATTTAATATTATATATATTATATATATATATATATATATATATATATATATATATATATAATATATATATTTTAGAGGCAGAGTCTCTATCACCCAGGCTGGAGTGCAGTGGCACAATCATGGCTCACTACAGCCTCAAACTCCTGTGGCTCAAACGATCCTCCCGCTTCAGCTTCCCAAGCAGCTGGGACTACAGGCACATGCCACCATGCCCAGCTAATCATTATCATGACTGTAGTGATGGTTTCATGGGCATATACAAATGTGAAAGCTTATGAAGTGGTATGATTTAAACATGTGCAGTTTGTTATATGTCAATCACACTTCAATAAAGCTGCTTTTAAATTTTCCTATGGTACCTCATAGTAAGTCCTCAGTAAATGTTAGTTCTTTCTTTTAACAACTATGTTTTACAACTGGGAACTAATAGGATCATAATTCCTGACTAGAACTCTTTTTCTCACCAGAAAAATGTAAGAACTATTTTTGAAAGACTGAACTGCTTGGTCATCTTTGCTTTCAGTTTTCCTAAGGCTGGCAGCTCTCTGTACCAGCAACACTCCCAAAGAGCCAGGCAAAGAAGTGAGTGAGGCCAGCCTAGCTTTCCTCCTCTCCACCCTCATCACTCAGGGCCATCACCTTGGCAACCTAACCCAATTTGATGGCTTATCAAGGTTCTTGATGTTTGTATCCCCATTGCTCCAGCATAGTGTTTGGCATGTGGCTAGAGCTTAACAAAGGTTCAAAGAGAGGAGTGAAGGAAAAGAGTAAATATTCCCTCTCTGTGCCTGTGCAGCTGCATGGCGACCTCCAGGTCTCCCTGCAGTGCAGGTCTCAGCTAAGTCTCAATAAAGGAAATTCTCTGCTCTGACTGCAGCACCAGACCACTGCAGCTCTGGGTCTTGATAACACCCACAGCTTTCACACCAATGCCCTTCCACAACTACTTCACTTACTTGGCCTACAGAGCACTCTGTTAGGGCATCACAACCATTCTTGGCCCATCTATCTTGATTGGACAGCAAAGCAGATTACATTTTAACCACTTCATGTTGCTAGGGTTCTCAACTCTTGCATTCAGAGAAACAAGATGGTTATCATAGTGGCAAGCACTGAACTGGAAACCTAGAGACTAAGGTTCTAGTCCTGGCTCTGCCCTCTCATCAGTGAATGACCTGAAATTAGCCCAGCCTAGCCTTGTAACTCATTGCCCCAGTCGTCCTTACCATAACTTGCTATTCCAGGGGAGGCAATTTCTTTCTTTTTTTTTTTTTTTTTTTGTGGATATGGAGTCTCACTCTTTCACCAGGCTGGAGTGCAGTGGTCCATCTCAGCTCACTGCAACCTCCGTATCCTGGGTTCAAGTGATTCTCCTGGGGAGACAAAATTTTTAAGTGTCACATCACTAGCCTTCGGTCAGTGGTAAGACCTAGATCTGCCACGTAATAACTAGAAAATGGGTTGAGTGGCCTAGCCCATCCACAGGGCTCTTTGTAGAAAATTTTTCTGTGGTCCATTTTTCAAATGGCCTGGGGCTTATTCATTATCCTATGGGAAAGTAGATACTGTGGTGGCCATGAGAAAATAGCTCTTCTGGTAAGGAGAGAGCTAGGTATGCAAACATTCGGTTGGCAGTACCCCTGAAATTTAACTTGAAAATTGCACCTAATGGCTTCTGCAAATTAATAGCATTCAGTGGGGGCTCAGCCTTTTTTCTCTGCAGGACATGCTAATAATGTAGGTGCCTTAAAAATTAATAAAATATAGTCCACATAACAGTCATACTTCCTGTGAAAAGCACCTGCCACATATTAAAGAAGCTATCCTTTCATTTTTCTTCATTAAATATAAGGTTCATGAACAAGGATGTTTATTACTTTTATTCATTACAGTATTCCTAGTGCAATAGAAAAATGCCTGATACATAACAGGCACTCCAATAAATATTTATTGAATAAAAGAATCATTTAATAAAGTCCTTATGAGTTGAATCTGTATGCAAGTCTTTGTAGTAAGTATTAAATGTATTGTAACCTTCCTTGACCAAAATAACAGCAATTTCATTTTCCCTAACAACTTTCTTTAAATACCCTCACAATTTCCTTCTTCCTTCCTGGGTAGTCTATTAGCATCCTCAGAAGACTGGTAGAGAGATCCAAGCCTTATTTTCAAGAATAAAAGCTGGAAATCATTATTTCCAGCTTTTTCCAGAGCCATAGATTAAATCTCAACAGAACCCAGATGGGCTATAGGACTTGCTGACCTGCTGAAGGGGCTCTGCAGAGTACTGTACCATCTTGTAGGCATAGTACTGGGTTTGGCTGAGATTTACTCTACAACCCTGAAATAACCATTTTCAGCTTTTATGAGAACAAACAGAGAAGATGGTCTATAGGACCTGCTGATGTGCTGAAGGGGCCCTGCAGAGTATTGTTCCATCTTGCCTAAATAAATAAAATGTATCACTATATTGATTAGGTGTTTGTTTCGTGCTTTCATTAAAGAACCAATCTTGTTTTGCCACTCTTGGTTTGTAGACAGAAACCAAGTTTCTTGGTTTCATAAATAGAATGAATCTGACTAATTCAAACCCTCAGCTCCACAAAATATTGCAATCATTCAAATTTTCATGAGAAAAGACATTTATTTATTTATGAAATGTGCATGCTTTTATTGACTAAGCAGACTCCTTGAGGGTGATGAAGTGGGAAGAATGGGGGACTCTGATCAAGCACTGCTTGTGAGGCAGTGCTTCACAAGCTTGTAGGTGATCGAGATAGTGGCCACTCCTCTCCGGCTTGCCCTCCACTTGGTTGAAGGCCTTACTGTTGAAGGCGCCCACCATGTACCCACCATCTCGTCCCCCATCTTGGGCAGGATAATCATGTCCTGCAGGTGCATGTTCACCACCTCTGGCTTCTGCATAGGCGGTGCCCCTTTCTTGGCCTTGCGCAGGTGCTTCAGCAGCAAGTACTGCTTCCACCACAGGCCACGGTGCAGCTTCATTCGCTGCTTGCATGACACGTCCAGCAGCGGATTGGGGTGCACACCACAAGAGATGAACTTGCAGAAGGTCCGCTTATTCTGCTTCACTGCTTTTTCTGCTCCACTTCTGTCATCTTGCTGGTTTCTTGGAACAGCAGAAAAGACAGATTTTTTTTGTTTCAGTTTTTTCTTTTTTTTAGACGAAGTCTCACTCTGTCACCCAGGCTGGAGTGCAATGGCACGATCTCGGCTCACTGCAACCTCTGCCTCCCAGGTTCAAGTCTCAGCTTTCCGAGAACCTCCTGGGATAGCATGCGGCCCACAGTCCATGCAATCTCTGGTTCTGTGGGGAGGCACACGCACATGAGATTATAGGTGCCTGCTACCACGCCCAGCTAAGTTTTTGTATTTGTAGTAGAGACGGGGTTTCACCATCTTAGCCAGGTTGATCATTGAACTCCTGACCTCGTGATCCACCCACCTCGCCTCCCAAAGTGGAAAAGACTTTTTTAAAAACAACATGCCTCAAAGTTCTCCAGTGAAATAGAAAACCCAAACTGCTTCCCTTTTCAGCGCTGAAATATAACATCCTATAGCAGCTATTTCTAGATCTGTTTATCAGAATTGTTTAAAGCTTTTCAAAAAATGCAGATTCCTTGGCTGTACACTGTCCTACTCCATCATCCTCCCTCCCCCCCACCACACACACACACACCCCTACATCATAGATCTGGGATATGGTCCAGAATCAGTATATAGGAAATGGACCCCAGATGGTTTTGTTGTGCAACCAGATTTTGGAACCACCTTCTAAGCTGTGCTGCTATATATATATATATACACACATATATATATTAAAAACACCCAGAACTACTGACTACAAACCAGGGACTCCTTTCCCCTTATTCTAAGGAAGGGATTGTGTTTCCCAGCCCACCTATCCTCCTACATACGTAGGAGCTACAAACTCAAATGCCTGTTGGACCAGGCATGTAACATAAATGCAGGAAAGATGCAGACACAGAGCAGTAGGGACTGTGGCAAACACCACCCATCCACAAGGCACAGATGCTTACCAGTTCCAGCCAAGTATGAACATGGACCTGTCATCACAGGAGCTTCTAAATTCTTAAAAGAATACAGAAATTTTCTAGATTTTGTATAAAATGATATTCCAATCTATAGATCTTATTCAAAATGTCTGGTGAAGACTAAACACATCTGGGGTAGCTTGTGGCCCAGAGCCCATGCAGTCTCTGGTTCTGTGGGATGGCACAAACAAACCCCTTTTAGGCTATGTATTCATTCCCGAAGGCTGCTGAAACAAATTACCACAAACTTGATGGCATACGACAACTGACATTTATTCTCTCACAACTGTAAAGGCCAGAAGTCCGCGAAGTGTTGACTCCAAAGTCTGCAGGTGGGTCCCTCGGGAGGCTCTGAGGGAGAATCATTCCTTGCCTCTTTCCTAGCTTCTGGTAGCTGCTAGCAATCCTGCTTCCGTTCTTTGGCTCGCGGGGATGTCTCGCCGATTTGCCTCTGTCTTCGTAAGGCCTTCTCCCCTGTCTCCCTTGTCTCATTTCCTCCTCTAAGTCCTTATCATTGGATTTAAGGTCCACCCCAATCCAACATGATCTCAGCTTGAGATTCTTAACTTAAATACACCTGCAAAGGCCCTTTTTCCAAATAAGCCCACGTGTATAGGTTCTGGGGTTTAAGACTTGGACACTTCTTTTTAGAGCCACTATTCAAACTACTACAGGTAGGTTTGCATAAAAATTCCATTATTTCAATCAAATTTTACTTCTACCAGCATTTATCTAACTATTTACTTCTATGATGAAAATGACTTACATCTTGGCAGAAACTTGAAGACATGCCAGCTCAGGCCCAGATGCATGTTGTTACTTTTTTTTTTTCTTATATGCTTCTAGTTTTATGTGTTACTAGTGTTATTCCATTGCTGTATTTCCTGCCATTACTTCTAAAATCAGGGATGTAGGGGTAAAAGGATCTCTGCCTTACACGGGGTTCCACCATTGAAAATGTCCTTGATTGGACAAAATGGTGCTGTCTGCATGTGCATAGGCAGGATATCAGGGAATGGTGGAAGAGCAGAGGGCATAGGGTACTGGGTGAAGCAAGAGAACAATAGGTAAAGTAAAAGTCTATCTTCATTGACCAGAGAAAGACACAGGAAATATGGCTCAGGTGAAACAACCCCTGGAGGTGTCAGGTTCTCAAGAAGAATTTTTTACAGACACCCCAGCACTTAAATGTGATTTCTAGTGCCATCTACTGGGAAGCATAGGAGCCAAGTGAGACCTGGGCTAGAAAAACAAAACCATGAGTCCAGCCTTCAGTCACTTTAAGGGGGCAGCTTTTATTGAGGCTGGATTTTTTTGTCCAAAGGAGAGGATCTACAAAGACTCTTAGCAAACATCTGACCAACTTCTGTGCTGCTCTTACACTTAATGCACATGTGGTTGCTGACTCATGCACGTGCTGTGTAATTTGTTCTCCTCAGCTAGTTGGTGAACAGAAGCTGTGTCTTTTTCCTCTCTGTATCAGCACAAGCACAGTGTCTGGCACAGAACAACCACTCCAAAAAAAAAAATGCCAGTTGAGTATAAAAAAAGAAAAATCCAACTTAACGATTATTTTTATTATCAACCATTTAGCTGTTAACAAATCTGCAGGAACCAAATGGCAAGACGAGCCACAAGACGGAAACTGGATGACTTATAATTTACTAGACTTTGAGCTTTATGAAGCAGTACTTGGGAGGTACACTCGCGGCCAGTTATATACCAGGGAGTGAAGCAGCTGTGCCCCATGGAGGAAATTGCCCGATGCAACAAGCTGACTCCTCACACTACTGCCATTCACTCAGAGGGCAAAGAGCTAAGGTGTGAGCTAGAGTGAAGGTGGGAGGGAAATATATTCCAATTACCAGGTGACTGCTGTTTGCATTTCAGCGCTAAGCCAGCGGTCGTTAATGAGTCTAGCAATTCCTTCCTCACCTATAACATAAACATCCACAGAACCCCTACCACAGGGGTCCTCAATTTTGGCTACAAAACAGCATCCATCACCTAGAAAGCTTTTTAAAAATTCTGATGCACAGGCTGCACCCCAGACCAATTAAAACAGAGTCTGTGGGGTTGGGGCCAGGCCTAAGCATTTTTTAAAGCTTCCAGGTATATTCAATTTCTATGGCTGCTGTAAGAAGTTACTGCAAATTTAAGGTCTTAAAACAACACAAATTCACTATCTTATAGTTCCATATCAGAAGTCCAAAAAGGGTCTCACTGAGCTAAACTCAAAGTGTTGGTAGAATTGCACTCCCTACTGGAAACTCTAGGGAAGAATTGGTTTTCTTACCTTCTCCAGCTTCTAGAGGCTGCCCATGTTCCTTAGCTACTGGCTTCTGGTATTCAAAGCCAGCAATGACTGGTGAGTCTTCCTCACATTGCTTCACTCTGACACTGACTCTTCTGCCTCCCTCTTCCACATTTTAAGATCCTTGAGATTATGTTGAGTCTACCCAATGTCTATATTTGATTACCCAAAAAATCTATTTTGAAGACAGTTCATTAGCAACACCAAATCCATCTGCTACATTAATCTTCCTTTGCTGTGTAGTGTAATGTAACATTCATAGGTTGCCAGGATTAGGACATGGACATCTTTGGGAAAACATTATTCTGCTTACCATATCCGATGACTCCAATGTGCAGCTGAGAATAACTACTGGTTGTGCCAGGCACCATGGCTAACACCTGTAATCCTAGCACTTTGGGAGGCCAAGGCAGGCACTTTGGGAGCCCAAGAGTTCAAGACCAGCCTGGACAACATGGTGAAACCTTGTCTCTACCAAAAGTACAAAAATTAGTTGGACATGGTTGTGTGCGCCTATAATCCCAGCTACTCAGGAGGCTAAGGCAAGAGGATTGCTTGAGCCTGGGAGGCAAAAAAAAAAAAAAAAAAAAAAAGAAAGAATAACTACTGGTCTACCCAACCCATAAGATGAGACAGACTTAGAGCAGAGGCCCAGTTAGCAGGCAGCCATGACAGAAGACTGGAAGCATACACTAAAAAGTTGGTGGGGGACAAGGGCAAAAAGGCAGAGAAGGGCAATAGCCTTACAAATTTTACATTGTCACAGAACTTGTTTAGGATGGGGGAGGGGAGGTGCAAATGTCATGTGATTTATTCTCACTCAGTTCTCTAATAGCCCTGGGAAGCTAAATTGTATACTTTCCCAAGGATAATGGGACCATCCCCACTCAGCTGTAGCCATTAAAGAAAATTGAGGTCATAATACAAGATAAGACTTTTCCAGACTTTTGTAACTCGTTGCTATCAGCTTGCTCCTTGTTTTGTACTCAAAGCCTGGGTACCTGCCAGATTCTCAGGCATTCTGTAGGCTGTCTCCCCTATAATCTGCCTCTCTGCAAAATAGATTAAATATAGCTTGAAGATGTATACTGATCAGCCAACACTTTAATGTCAACACACACACACGAGATTCCTGGCTTCTCTTAAAGACCTAGATAAGCTGAGACAGTGTTTCTGTAGGACCACTTGGCTGGGACAGCCACTGCCTTCAGAGGGGACATTTATTCTCTGGTTTGCCACAGGTCTCATCCTAGCCTTTTTGTTTTGTACCTGGCTCACTCACTCCACGTATTTATTACTTGCTTGATCTGAAGCTTGGCATTGAAGCTTACAACCCTCCCCACTCCTCTAGAGCTCTCTTGCCTAAAGTTAGGCTAAATTCCCATAAGGAACCATTTGCCTGTCATTAATGCAAAAGTGAACAGCTCTCCAGTGGAAAAGATGGGATTCAGGCCAATGGCTGTCTGTACATACAAAACTTTTCTCACAACCCAGCAAGCTCCAGAGGGGAGTCAGACTAGGGTTTGAGTAAGCAGCATGCAGCCACCAAGTGTTCTGGTGAACATACTGGTCTCTATTGGTACAAATTTCCTTTGTAGAAAGTTAAGCCAAAAACTGCCTCACTTCTGTCACTTGGTCTTTCTCCAGCCTTTGGCACATAACCAATTTCCTTCTTTTATACTTAAGTCTTGATAATTATCACCCATGAGTGCCTCTTCCCATCTCCAAATATGGATGCAAAATGTAAATCCGTGCCTAACTTCGTGGACCATTCCCCCTAAGATGTAACTGAGAAATTATTCTGATAATGCCTAGAGCTTGGCTGTGCCACTCAAATGTGCTGCTCCAAACTCTACACAGCATTAGTGATCTGACCAAAGACAGGCAGACAAGCTCCTCTAACTCAGGCCCTGGGCCTCTATAACCCATCCTAACACTGTACAAGCTTACAGGTAAGAAAATAGAGTGGTTAGTCGCAGTGGCTCATGCCTGTAATCCCAACACTATGGGAGGCCAAGGCAGGTGGATGACTTGAGCCCAGGAGTCGGAGACCAGCCTGGGCAACATGGTGAAATTGCCTCTACAGAAAATTAGCGAGGTGTAGTGGTACACACTATAGTCCCAGCTATCTGGGAGGCTGAGTTGGGAAGATCATCTGAGCCCAAAAGATCAAGGCTGCAGTGAGCCGTGATGGTGCCACTGCACTCCAGCCTGAGTTACAGAGAGACCCTGTTTCAAAAAAATTTAAAAAAAGATAGAAAAGAGGACTTGCCAAGCAAGGTCCTTTGAGGTACACAGACCTGCTGTGAGGGATAATCTTTCCTTTGTAGAGTTCCAGGGGAAGACCCTCTCCTAAAGAAAGAACACCAAGTATTTCCAATGGATAAGATCCAAAAACACTTCTCTGCACTCTGTCCTCTCCTTAATGGACTGACACTATTTTCTAAGGATGACAACCTGACTGAAATACAGACAGTCCTGACTTACAATTTTTCAAGTTTACAATGGGTTATCAGGATATTAAATGCATTTTCTACTTATGATGGATTTATCAGGATATAACCCCATCCTTAGCTGAAGAGTATCTGTATGCTTCACCTGAAAGGTTAGGGTCCATTTTTAAAGGGCCTGTAGAAAGATGAGCCAGGCGATGAATGGTGACAATGCCTATTTTCCATGGCACTGTTCATTAAGTCAACCTTGGTATAATTAGGAAAGACGAAATTCAAGCCAGTCTTGGAATCACTGGTTTAATGGTTCTCAATAAATGGTTAAGATTGATGTTTCCAGCCGAGTGAAATTTGGGTTTAGATATAGTTTGGGCTTAACAATCCTTTATCTCAGATTAAATGCGACAGTGCTTTAAACCACTTAGAAAAATGCCCGGAACATATTAAGTTTTATTACTAATGTTTCTGGTCATTCTTAGACATTTTCACTTCTACCACCACTCTTTACGCAGAATCTCGCACATAGCTGTCACTCAACGAATGTCAGTAAACAAACACCAGAGATTTCAGTCTGCCAGGTCTCTGACATGCAAAGCCATGAGGCCAGGTCCGTACGCTACCTCCACTGAGAAAAAGACAAATGGCTTAGGCTGTAAGGTTTGCGTCATCAAGGAAAGCTGTCAAATAATGAAGTGGTTAGCAGATTCCTAAAAATTGGAACCATTTCAGCAGCAGTTTCGTCCACAGGGAGAAACTCTATGGATGTCTCACATCTATGGAAACTCTACTCTGTTTATAGTCTTTTGGCATCTTGCTCTGCAATCTCACTTGAGATTACTACTGTAGAACTAAGAGAGGAATAAATCAAAAGCAAACCAGTGTAAGTAGAGATGCAATAAAATTTGGCTGTCTTGAGTCCTGAAAGGCTTGGTGCATACTTGTTAAGGCATGCAGTGTGTGCTAAGGGCTTCAGCAGGGAAATTCTACTCAAAGATATGCTGTAGGAAGCAAAGATGAACCAACCCAAGTGGTACTGAAGAGGACAAGATGGGAAGGACATTTTTATTTTCCCTAATCTTCAGGCAACCTCACCAAGCTGAAAGTCACGTAGCTAAGTATGAAACCAAGAAAAATATGAAGCTTAAGAGTACTGTGCATTGTATTTCTTCAATCTCTGGCAAGCTGGGAGTCCAAGGTCAGTCTAGGCAGGAGGGCTGCTAGACCTAAGCAATCACATAATTTTCACTGTCTTAAGCATATCTGACAGGACATACGTGTCATCCCAACCCCTCCCAGGCTTCCTCAGGGTCCGCTCCAAAGCCTGGGCTGTTTCCAGGAGCTCTGGTGTGGCAAGTTTTTGCTCAGGGTGCAGCTGACAGAACAGGATCTCATTCACTTCACCCTCAATTCGCCGGACATACAGGAGGGGGAACACTGCCTTGAGCCCAGCCAGCACTGAGTCCTTTAGCCCCAAGTCTCGGCACACGAGGTTGAGAATAAAAACACCTATAGGGTAGGAAGAAAAGTCAGAATGACCTCACATCAAGACACATATCAAAGACAAGGATCAGCTTTGAGGAAAATAGCAATTCCTGTTCCAGGGACACTGGTGGACTAAAATGTACTTGTGGTGAGTTTGCAGAGAATACACAGCATACAAAGGCAGATGGAAAAAAGCATGGGGAACATGTGAGCCATAAACAAACTTCAGCCTTATTTTTTGCTCTTCTGTGCTGCTCACACATTATTTTACCATTCTCCACACCTCAGTTTCCCGAAGAATTGCTCTTAGAAAGAAGTGATTCCCAGCTGGGCACAGTAGCTCATGCCTGTAATCACATACTTTGGGAGGCCAAGGCAGGCGGATCACCCAAAGTCAGGAGTTTGAGACTAGCCTAGCCAAAATGGTGAAACCCTGGCTCTACTAAAAATACAAAAATTAGCTGGGCATGATGGTGGACGCCTGTAATCCCAGCTGCTAGGGAGGCTGAGGCAGGCGAATCTTTTGAACCTGGGAGGCAGAGGTTATAGTGAGCCAAAATCCAGCCTGGGCGACAGAGTGAGACTCTGTGTCAACCAATCAATCAATCAATAGAAAGTGATTCCCCTAGCAACTCACAGGGATATTACATTCCTGACATAACCAGTGAGAGGGCCAAGGTTACCCTGACTGCTGACAATTAAGATTCCAAATCAAGCCAGTCACCACAGTGCCTTACGCCAAATCAAAAACACCTAGAGGGCTGTTAACATAGGGATTAAGGGCTATGAAGATTCACTGTTGAAGATTAAATAACGCACTGCCTAGTAGAGCATGTTTAGGAAGCATCATGTAGTAGCTAGAATCACCATGCTGGTGGGAGGGTGAACTGCTACAACCACTTTGTAAAACTGTGTGTTAGCATCTACGAAAGCCAAACATACACATAACCTATGATCCAGCAATTACAACTCTGTGTATATACCCAAGAGATTTGAAAACATAATTCGTCAAAAGGCACATATCAGAATGTTAATGGCAGCACTATTACAATAGACCCACACAGGAAACAACCCAAATACCAACAGTAGAACGGATACATGAATTGTTGTAAGTCACATGATACAACACAGCAATAAAAATAAGCCATGTAAGCACAACACTGTGAATGAATCTCACAAACATCACGTTGAGTGAAAGAAAAAAAATGGAAACTTAAAAAGTACGTTCGGCCAAGTGCAGTGGCTCATTTCTGTAATCCCAGCAGTTTAGGGGTCCAAGGTAGGAGGACTGCCAGAGGTTAGAGTTTGAGACTAGACTGGGCACATAGTGAGATCCTGTCTCTATAAAAAATAAAAATAAAAAAATTAGCCAGGCATGGTGGCATGCACCTATAGTCCCAGCTACTCAGGTGACTGAGGTGGCAGGATTCCTTGAGATTAGGAGTTTGAGGCTACGGTGAGCCTTGATCATGCCACTGCACTCCAGCCTGGGAAACAAAGTGAAACCCTGTCTTGAAAAAAAAAAAAAAACAAAGAGAACATTCCAACATTCTGTGATTCCATTTATATAAAGAACAAGAACAGGCAAAATTAAGCTGGGTAGACAGAAGTTAAGATAGTGATTACTCTTGGGAGGACAAGTTACCAAAAGGGGATAAGAGACTTCAGGTGAGCTGGAAATTTTCTCGTGCTAGTAAATGGTTGTATTCAGTTTGGAAATACTGATCGAGCTTGCACTTCTGTGCATTTTTCATTAAAAAGATAAATTTTTTTTAATGGACCCTTCCCTCCTCCCTCTCCATACCTTCAGGAATCAAGATGCTTTTAACTTTCTGTAGAAAAGATTGCTCCACAAATGCTGGGGGTGGACAACTCATTCCCAGTGTTGGGTCCTTACTGTCAACATCAAACATTATGACATCATAGCGAGGCTGTGCTGGGAAAAAGAAGGAAAAGAGTCCTTGTCTTTTCTGGATAAAATAATACCATGTACATTCCTACACTATACTTCCTGTTTACCAGTGATGGGCAGGGTGACTAAGTCAGAAGGATGACATGGAGGATGTGGTTTGCCTGAAAGGGCACTGATGTCATGGCCCTGGGGGTCCTTGTCATCAGGGTTCAGAGTGTCCCATAGTAAAGATGGAAACTTCTTCCACATTTAAAATCACCTTCCAAAGGCAAAAACATTAATGGGGCCACTTTAGCATGAATATTTCTTGGTTAAGAGTGTATCAAGACCAGTGGCTTTTGACTCCGGCAGAACATTACAATCACCTTGGGAAGCTTCTAATGTGGACTACACTCCTGACCAACAGAATATCCTGGGGTGGTGGTGGGGGATAGCAGGGGGCGGCAAATGGGAGGAGAGATGGGAAGCCTCTGGTATTTTTCTTGAGCTTTCCAGGTAATTCTAAATACAGTCAGGGTTAAGAACCACTGATATAGACAAAGCAGTTAAGCCTGTAAGGACTGACCCAGTAAACAGAAACTTTTAACTCTGAAAACAGCACATTTTGCCTCATAAGAGAAAATGTTCTGAAATTTGAGTGTTATCTTTGCAGTTCCATAAACAAGAGCTGACTCAAGAAAGAAATGATTTTGCTAAATAGGTGAGAAAGAGCCGATGATGATATGGATATGCTCCTTATTATAATGTTAAATTGTTTTTATAAGGGGTAGGTCTGCAATGTCACTGACATGTTTTTAGGAAATTTTGAAACTGCGATAGTAATTATTCAATATAATTAAATATTTAATTAGTACTGCTGCACGCTTATCACTGTCATAGCACAAGATCTGATTTTGGTTTTTTAAAAGAGAACATGTTGGCTCATCAAAGTCCAAAGAAAACAATAGCCTTCATTTGCAGACTTGAGCCCAGTAATCTAAAAGGTTTTGGTGGTTACAGAAGATGGGGGAAGCCATTGAAAACTGATCTACAGACAGCAACAGCAGTAACATCATGCATTAAGTACTTACCATGTGCATGGCACTGTTGTAAATACTTCACCATATTAGTATCTAGGGGTTTGGGCACCTCAACTAACCCTAGCTTCAGAGAAGAAACCTATGAAACTGTTACGATTCAACTCAGTTTGCCATTGAATTTAAGATAGCATCTGTTCAATACTCCTCCCAGGCATCCTAGTTTGCCACACCCTTACTGGAAGATAGTCTAATTCAGTGAGAGCAGAGTATCTGTTATGAAATGAGCAGACTAGGAAGGGTGGCCTGAGCTCCCCGGTACAACTACACCAACCTAACTGCCTTCTCTCCAAAGGACTGAAGTTCCAGAAAGTACTACAGTCAACGGCGTCCTATCTACATAATGAGCAGACTTATTGTCTCTAGTATTTTGCAGAAAACTGTTATACTTATGGTTTTTGTCCTAAATCTGGGATGCAAATTACTAGAGTAAATGGAACCTTAATTCTAGTTGCAGAAGGCCTATCAAAATTACCACAGAGTAGCATCTGCATCAAGGTTTCTCCATCTCAGAACCATGGAAATTCTGGGCCAGATAAGTCTGTCATCAGTGCCTGTCCTGCACACTGTAAGATGTTTACTAGCATCCTAGACCTTTACCGGTTAGATGCCAGTAGCAACATCCCCCACCCTGATTTCTGACAACCAAAAACTTTCTGAATACATTACCAGATCTAAGACCCTGAGGTTGTAAACCACTGATCCTACAGGAATACTGTTTTGCTTTATTTCTGGCTTCACCTCTAGTTGAAATATTTACCAGAAACACCACCCAACATACATTCCACCTTTTCTTTTCCATTTCTTCCCCCAGCCAGACTTCAGGTTTCTTAAGATGGTGAGGAAATGACAAACTTACAGGTCAGAAAAAAGCCCACTGGTCTGTTGGCACCATAAGGGCAGGAATGGCCTGTTTTATTTATTACTGTTCATTCACACCTAACACAGTGCTAAGCATATAGCTGGTACCCCAGTGAATAAGTATATCAACAAATGAGCAAGCTGAAGACTGGAATGATACTCATGCACTCTCTTAGAGATAAACTGTAGAGGCCCTTGTAGGCCTGACAATGTTGGATCAATCATCCCTCAACACCCCTTCCAATGCTCCAAAAGCAGTACCTTCTTCTCCTTCTGCCAGGCTGGCAATATAGTCCAGGCCATCTGCAATGTGGACCTTCATTCGGTCACTCCGGGAGAAGCCAAACCACTGGGTGGCCACTTCCAACATCGAGGGGTCGATTTCTACAGCATCAATGCAGGACTTTGGGAAATGATCGTGGACAAAGAGGGGGAGGCTGCCCCCACCCAGGCCTACCACCAACAATGCCAGTGGGATCTCTGTAAGAAAAGAATAGAGCATCACATTGCCACCTGTTCACTGGAAAATTCTGTACCAGCCTCAGGGAGGCAAAAGGGAAAGTCAGCTTATTGTCTCTACTCAGGGGGTACAAGATTTAGAGGTCTCCCTATCTCAGTCCAGAAATCTAGGAGTCAATTTGACATCTGAAAACTCAATCCTGGATTCATGATGACTAGATCCAGAAGATGAACAGTGTGTTATTATTGTCTCTTAAAGATCTCAAAGCAGCCAGGGGCGGTGGCTCACACCTGTAATCCCAGCACTTTGGGAGGCCTAGGTGAGCAGATTACTTGAGCCCAAGAGTTTGAGATCAGCCTCAGCAACATGGTGAAATCAACGAAAAGTAGAAAAATTAGCTTGCATGGTGGCACATACCTGTGGTACTAGCTACATGGGAGGCGGAGGTGGGAGCCTGAGGAGGTCAAGGCTGCAGTGGGCTGTGATCCACCACTGCACTCTAGGCCTGAGAAAAAGTGAATCCCTGTCTCAAAAAAAAAACCTCAAAGCATTCAGCCGACATGATCTCAATAACTCTAATAACAAGAGTTATTAGACCTCTCGGGAGAGTTGGGGGTTAAAAAAAAAAAAGAGAGTTATTAGACCTCTCTAGGAAAGGGAAGAGGGAAGAAAAGTGGCCAAGCAATCTTGCTCATGATTACAAGGCAGCAGAGGTGCAATGCTCCTTGCCCTTGACTCAAAAGGCCACACTGTCTTCTCAGACACCCTCACCAAGTAAGGGTAAGCCATTCAAGTTCCACAAATCACAGGAAAACAAAGGCCTAAATCCTACCCCTAAGCACAGACCACAGCCACCACAAGGGATCAAGGGAAGACAACAAACAAAAAAATCACCCAAATTAGGTGGGTGACAGACCCTGAGGATTAAATCTAAGAACTGAGATTCCAGTGACATACCTTAACACTAAGATAGGATAAAAGAATAGGGTGTTTCAAGAAGGCACATTCAGGGACTTCAGGTGAAAACGGTTACAATCACAGACAGAAACATGAACATTTTTACTAATGCAGTCAGCTCCAAACCTGCAGTGATAAGGCTATGACTGTATTAACATAATATGAATCTTTTTAAAGTAGAAATTCAAGATAGAATTGCATCTTTTGTTCAAATAATGCATTACAGAGAAGCTGAACAATTAAAATCTGTGTATTTTACATATCTCATTGAATACACTATATACCGTAATTTTAAAAAGAAATGAACAGAAAAAATACAATTTAGACCCAACATATTTCAATACAATTTCAATAAAACAAGCTGAGTTTGAGGCAACAGTTACTTAGAATGCTCATTAACTTGTAAGATGGCTGAGATGAAGAAAGATAACGTTGTCAGTTTGTAATCACTGTTCTTCAACTACAATGCAGGTGACACCAATTGTTTAGGTCTGTAATCGTTTGTTTTGTTTTGTTTTTTGGTTTTTCTTTTGTTTTTTTTTTTTTAGGTCTGTAATCTTTATCCTCCCTCTGTGGAAGGCAGTGGCATCTCTCTCACCTGGGAGTTGCTCTGTGTTTCTCAGCAGGGCAAGGCCGGCAATCATGGCTTTGTGGTGTTCACAACATAGGTAACTCTTGTCAATGGACTGCTCTGGGGCTGCAGGGAGGTCCTCTGCTTCAGCAGGCCGCTGCTTTTTCCTGTCCTTTTTCCTCTTCTTCTGGGCTAAACAAGAGATATGAAGTCCTACGCTTACTTACACTAGACCTCAGGAAGCAAGGGTTACCAGCATCAGTGTGCTCCAGATGGCTTGAACACACTCAAAAGACCCAATTGTTAAAATGTTGGAAACTGGCTGACATCATGTTGATATGTTGAAACTGGCTGTAGTAAAATAGTTTGGGTGTTTATTCCCTAGAAACCTCATGTTGAAATGTGGTCCACAATGTCAGAGCCACCATGATGGTCATGGGGGCAGATCCCTCATGAATGGTTGGGTGCCTCCCCCACGGTAATGAGCAAGTTCTTCCTCTAGAGCTGTTGTTTAAAAGAGCCTGGCATCTCTCTTGCTCCCTCTCTTGCCATGTGATGTGCCAGCTCTCTCTTCACCTTCTATGACAATTTTAAGCTTGCTGAAGCCTCACCAGAAGCAGATGTAGGTGCCATGCTTCTTGTACAGTCTGCAGAACCATAAGCCAAAATAAACTGCTTTTCTTTACAAATTGCCCAGCCTCAGGTATTCCTTTATAGCAACGTAAAGCAAACACAGTGGTGGTACTTATACTAGACAACTGATAAACACTATAAATCAGGATTTGCCCCCCAAGCCCACATCACAAAGAGATAGTTATTAAACATTTAACATATACACTAGATACAAGGAAGTTGGAAAAGGAAATGGCAAATGCATACTCAAAAACCTGGGAAAGCTCAACTGAGGAGCCCTGGTGCCTCCCCTCTGAGAAATGTAAGCCCACTAACAAAAGAAAAGATTACTTATAGTCTTTTAAAGAACAATAAAGTTACTAATCACTCCCTATGTGCCAATTACTGTACTGGAACTTTTATTCTTTAAGCTCTTCTAACAACCTTATCATTTTAGGTCTTGGCAAATGAACACACTGAGCCACTGAAGTGTTAGGTAAATAGAGAATCAGCAGATGGTGCAGACCGGATTTGAACCTGGGACTGCCTGTCTCTATCACCTATCAACTTTCTGTTGTGCCACACAGGTAGCACTACTGACCTCTGTTGAACAAGGAAATCATAAGTATTCAAAAAAGGAAAGAAATCCTAAAAAGCCACTCCATTTTCCCTCTCCTCACTCCCTCCACTGCTCCAGGGTATCAAACTAAACGGATAGCTGTGTCTTCATAGGGATCAGCTGCATTTCTCAGCAGCAAAAGGTAATGATGACTGGGGTTGGGGTGCTTTTCAGAGATGTTAAATCACTTTTTAATATGCTCTCCTTCTTTCTCACCAATACTTAGGGAGATCGTTCTTTCCATGAGATCAAAGTGCTAACAAGAAGTCAAGGAACGTGACAATGGTGAAAAAATCTGAAACCCAAACTGAAAGCGGCAAAATATTCTTTTAAGCAATTTTACTAAGGTTTTAGTGAGATGAAACTGAACCAACCTACAGCCAGAGTGACCCCAAAATATGGCAGAAACCCAACAATCTTGGGTGGTTTGGCCAGGGGAAACCCCTAAAGTAAAAAAAGACATTTTGCAGGTAACTTGCTCCTAGACTCAAGACAAATCCATGACCTCAAGCGTCTGAATTCTTTCTCTCCACCCTCCTCCCAGATGGCCTTGCTATAAGGACAGCCCAGTAAGGCAAAGGGAACAACTGGGAATCAGGAGAGCCATTTCGGCTTCCATCCTTGAATCTCTGTGCCTGACTGGGAAGATGCATTGGAGACAGGGAGGGGAGGGGCATTCACTTTTCACTCTCTACATTTGACTTTTGAAGTGATTTCAATGAGCAAGTATTGCTTTTAAAATACAAACTGACACAGCTTGTAAAAAAACACAGGTAAAACAAACTATTGATTCCCCATTAGGGGAAGTTTCTGAGTGTCAGCTGGGAGACCACTTAAAGGGATTCTAGAGGAGATGGTTTAGATCTATATACTATCCAATACCAGCCACTAGCCCCTGTGGCTAAATGTAAATTAATCAGAATTAAAGAAAATTAAAATTCAGTTCCTCAGTTATACCAGTCACATTCCAAATGCTCAGCACTACATACGGCTAGTTGCGACCACATTGGAAACTCCAGTACCAAATAATCTCCTTCATCACAGACAGACCAAATGAACAGCGCTGTGTTCATTAGATGGTCTCTAAGTTACTCGCAAACACCAAAACCCTCTGAAACAGGTGAGTTACACTATGGCGTTACAGGGCTCACCTGCAACTTCCATGGTTCTGGCTCACCTCAGAGGCCTACTGAAACAATACAGAGATGTACATGGAGCACCTACAAAACAGATGCCTTTAAACTGAAGACATTAATGTGATTATCACATGTACTTGGTTTCACTACCCAAGCCCCTTATCACTTCAGAGCCAGGCTCTGTTCAAGAGCAGAATGTACTCTGCTTATCACTACTCACACCTTAAGATTCCAGATGGTTAAGAACCCACAGACACCCAGGTCCATCCTACATCTCGGCCAAGCTCCCAGGAAATCTAGTCCATACCACGGCCACTTGGGTCCCACCACCGTGCCCTATGACACCTCACCTCTGTGAGACACATCCTTTAGCAACCTGGCTTCTGACTGCACCACATTCCTGTTGCTGAGGAATATCAGTCGCCGGAAGAATCGCTTGTCATCCCCTTGCACGTCCTCGATGACATAGTCACCGCTCAAGGGGCTGCAGTCTTGGTGCTGAATGGTCCGGACCCCAATGTCCCCCCCTACAGACAGAAAGGGCACCTGAAGGTACAACCAGAGATGTGGTCAAAACAGCAGCTCATTTAAGAAGTAAGAGAAATTATAACCCCTTCCCCTTGTATGTATATATCCCCATACCATGGTTCTAGACAACAACTACTCCAAAGATTTGCCATTCTATTAAAGTACTTTTCTGGGGCCTTTGATCTCAAAGGTTTAATTCATCTTTTGAAAATCAACTGAACACATAAAGATCTCCCAAAGTTGGTTCTCTCCAAGTTCTTTTAGGGGTTTCTCATCAGTAATCCCTAAAAGAACTCTCAATAATCCAGGATAACCAAAGCTTGAGAGAACCCTCAGGAAGGGGCTGGGATTATGAGAAGGAATCTATACAAGAATAAAGATAAAAAAATTCATGAGGGAAACAAGCACTCCAAATCTAGATAAATTTTCCTTGCCCCTAGTTACTCTCATCTATTTTTCCCCCATTTTTCTAAACCTTAGGAGAAAAATACACTTTCCCCCTAAACTTTCCCACTCCTTCCCCCTATCTTTATATCTATTTGTTTTTTAAAAAGATCTGTAAGACTATTTAATAATCACCAGAATCTCCTGACCCTGCAGACTCAGGCACTGATGTGAGGTCACAAATGAAGCTGCCCAGAGGATCTGGGATTCCCTAAAACAGGGGTCATCAACCCCAAAATTGGCCAGGAAAAATCAAACACATATGCATCTGTAAACATAAGTCAGCCTAGTGGGCAGAACGACAGGCCAGGAAGCCAGGAGCCTGGGTTCTTTTTTTCAGATCTGTTACTATTTGCACCAAGCCTCTAAACACTGTTGCTTTCCCAACTATCACGAAGGATCAAAATTTGGGCAACATAGGGAGACCCTGTCCCTACAAAACATGTAAAAAAAATCTAGCCAGGTATGGTGGCTCACACCTACAGTCCCAGCCAATACTGGAGGCTGAGGTGAGAGGATGGTTTGAACATAGGAGGTTGAGGCTGAGGCTGCAATAAATCATGATCACACCACTGAACCCCATTCTAGCCCAGGCAACAGAGCAAGACCCTATCTCAAAAAACAAAAAAAAGGATCAACTCCTCATCATGAAGTTCTTGCAGTAAAATCACTTGTCCATTACCCATGGTGACCAGGATAGCACAAGATAGTTGGTGTTAACTGATAATACCATATCACCATTTAGGTAAAAACCTTGTTTGCTTCCCAGTAAAACACCTGACCAGCAATGCGAATACCTGGATAACTGTGCTGAGCTGTTTTGGCCCTTTCCCATGTATACCCTCAGATAATGATAGTTCTAAGAAGCAAAATGACCATGGAAGTCCAGTTCAAAAAGTGTGGAAGGAGAAACCCACAATCAGAGCAACTCAAATTAGAAAGAGCTAGAGCCCACAACGTGTACAGCATTTCTTTCCTGCCGTATCTATGGAGTATGAGAGGTCCCCCAGACACTCACACTACTGTGCTCACTTTCCTCTCATTGCCTGGGGCAAAGGACAGTGCTTCCCTGCCATTTAACCCTTAGCTGCTTATATGCCTCCAGGATTAGACAAGGGTCACAGACTCTAGTCCTAGCTCATGCCAAGGCTCCCTCTGACTCCCTGGCTGCTAACATGACTTCAGAGACCCATGAAAGCTGCTACAAAAGCTTTGTTACCTGCTGCTGGGCAGGCATCCCAGCTGGTGCTAACTCCATGACTCTAGCCGACAGCTCGGCTTGGATGTGGTCCATGCTTTCATACTGCTGACCTCGGTGAAGGGCCACTGTAATCAGCCTCCTGAAGCCAGCACTGGCAGCCAGCTGTTTCCGGCCCTCATCCATGCCAAAGAGCCACTCAGTCTCCCGGCCCTGGGGGACTAGAAAAAGAAACCTGGTTACAGGGAATCCTGGAAATAGTGTTCAAGCCCACAACCAATATGGCCCCAAAGGCCAAAAAGCCAGTCCCTGTCCAAGACCAGCATCTTCCCCAACTGTGACCCAATGAAGAACTATCAATTCTCTAGTTCACAACACCTAGGGCAAGGCAGCCCATCAGACATGAGGCAGGACCAAGGGTAAAGAAGAAGTGTGGGCAAGTCTGGAGGGGAAGGAGGCAGGCACCTACCACAACAAAACAGCAATAATGCCAATACTAATAAATCATACTAGGTATGACTCCAAGCAGTTGACAAATATAAATTAATGGAATCCTCCAACAGCCCAAGATGTAAGTAGTTTTAGTATTATTCCCATTTTTAAAAATAAGGAAATTGAGAAACGGAAGTTACATAATTTGCCCAAGTTCAAAACATAAGTAAATGGCAAAGCTGGGACTCAAACCCAGGCAGTCTAGCCCCAGACTCTCTACCCATGCTTGTATTCACTGCATTATTTATTTCCACACATGGACAGATAGAATTATAGAATATTTGAAAAACTGGCTTAGTCACCAGGAAAAAAATTACCATAATACCATGACCATAAATACTTTGCATTTGTCTAGAATGTTCTACTTTTGAAAGCATTTCCTCATACTATCTTCTTGATCCTTATTAAGGTAAATCTGATATCCCTTACTGCTTTCAGTAATAATGACTAACATTTACACAGCACTTCCAAGGTCAAGTACCATTTCTAAGAGCTTTTATACTTCTCACAACTACACCAGAGTTACAATCCCACTTTATAGATGAGAAAACCAAGGCAGATAAAGAAACGTAACCTGCCGGGCGCTGTGGCTCACGCCTGTAATCCCAGCTCTTAGGGAGGCAGAGGCGGGAGGATAGCTTAAGCCCAGGAGTTCGAGACCTGCCTGGGCAATATAGCGAGACCCCGTTCTCCACAAAAAGGAAAAAAACAAAAAGACAAAAAAAAAAAAAAAAAAAAAAAAAAAAAGAAAGAAACGTAACCTGTCTAATGTCACACCATCAGGAAGTGACTGAGCCAAAACTGAAACCCAAACAGTCTGGTTCTAGAGCTCACTTTTTTAGCTGCTGCCCTATACTGCCTCTGTAAATTTTGCAAAGAAGCCCAGCAACTTCCCCAGGTCCTGCAGCTCACAGGCTACAGCTGGGACTAGAACCTATGTCTTAGGCTAGCTAATCCAGCATTACTTCTATTACCCCATGCTACAAAGTCAATTAGCATCTCTATGTCATATGTGGCCTCCTAAATTTCTTTCTTTCTTTTTTTTTTGAGACAGAGTTTCACTCTTGTTACCCAGGCTGGAGTGCAATGGCACGATCTCGGCTCACCGCAACCTCCGCCTCCCGGGTTCAGGCAATTCTCCTGCCCCAGCCTCCTGAGTCGCTGGGATTACAGGCATGCGCCACCATGCCCAGCTAATTTTTTGTATTTTTAGTAGAGACGGGGTTTCACCGTGTTGACCAGGACGCTCTCGATCTCTTGACCTCATGATCCACCCGTCTCGGCCTCCCACAGTGCTGGGATTACAGGCTTGAGCCACCGCGCCCGGCCTCCTAAATTTATTTCTATCCTCTCTCTTTCCTACCAACCCCATTCTCACACTTCATCAAGTCTTTGCAATGGAAGATGAGAAGAAGAAGAAATAGGTCTCAACTTGAAGTAGGTTGCTAGAGAGCTATTACTCCCCTTTCATCATGCCTGAGGTAGTCTAATCCTCGGGATGTACAAACCCCTGCAAGATAAAAACAGTCAAGAATCCCACCAAAGCCCCAGCCCAGCCCCAGCCCCAGCCCCCAGCCCCTGTAAGCCAGCCCCTCCAAGAAAGAGAGGGAGCAATCCCAACTCACTGATGAAAATCGCAAAACGATTGTCCCGCGATGGTTTCACAGTGGGGCTGTCCACCACGTGGAGGGTGTAGCGTGGCTCCCCCGTGTCCCCATCGCACAAGTCCAGAGACACACTCCCCAGCCTGGCCTTGCGGCGCAGCTGGCTGCACAGCCAGGCATACTGCTGCCGCTCCCGCACCGCTTCAGCCAGCTGCTCGGCACTCTCCAGCCGCACAGGCTTGCCCTGCTCCTGAGCACACAGCTCAAAGATCTGAAGGGCAGAGCCAGGGACTGGCCTGAACTTGGTCATGATGAAGGCAAAGACAGGCAAGGAGAACTGAGACTCTGCTTCCAACACCTGGTCCTGGCTGTTGGCCACTTGGTGCACCCTCACCATCCACCCCTCCCGGGAGAAGTGACCCACTGCTTTCTTCAGGATGTGAGCCTGAGCCAGGGAGATGCAGAGGTAGCGACCGCCCACCTGCAGGACACGGCCAACCTCGGCCAGCATCCTGTCCACCTGTTGCAGGGTCTTCTCTTCCTCATCTGTCAGAACAGCATCCAGGGTGCCCTTGTCCAACACCACCTGGAACGACGCATCAGGAAACTCCATCTGCGTCATGTCCATCTTCAAGAATCTCATCTGGGGCCGTCGGGTGGCATTGCATTCCTTCATTTGCTTGATTACAACCTCGCTGATGTCGATGTTCACTATATCTTGATAGCCCACATCATACAGTTGCTCACTCAGTTCTGAGTTGCCACACCCAATCACCAGCACCTGGAGAAAAAATTCACAAGAGGGAGGTAATCAAAGCAAAGGACTGTGCTTCAGGTACTTCAAGGAATCAACTCTCACCTTGGCTGATGCACATTTTCAGAAGGTGGAGATGCTAAAGAGCAACATTGTAGAGTTGATTCTATCTTGAAACACCACATATATTTGCTATGGAAAACTACATTCAGCTACAATACAGCTTATATGAAAATGGGCTTTGTGTTGCAGAAACAAATTAATCATGGTTGTTCTTTTCTCTAAAACATGCACTTATTACGTGGGAATTAATAGGAAGTCAGAGAATCCAAATACAGAGTTACAGTTGAAATCCTGGAGCTGGAATAACCCTATTTCCTCAATCCACTCAAGCCTTTGGCTCCACTAGACAATAAAGTACGCTTTGTGATGATTCAAGCCGTACTTCCATCACAGATTCCATCTCATGATACTTGGCTATTTTCTGAAGCCAAACTTAAAATTCATATTGTTGTCTCCTTCTCCATTTATCCTCAGAAATTCTGATTTACCATCTCTGGAAAAGCATGGTACAAAGAGATGTGCATATGCTTTGGAGCCAGACAGGCCTGAGTTTAAATCCCCACATGACCACTTACTACATGTATGATCTTGGGGAAAAAAAAAAAANCTCAGTTTCCTCAACTGTAAAATGCATGCATGGCCACTCACCTGAGTTTATGATGAGAATTCAGACTGCACATACACAGCACCCAACATAAGGCCTGGCACTAAAGCTTTCCCACAAATGTTAGTTTTCTACCTTTCCTCCTTCCCTGCCTCCAGTACAATTTCACCTATACCAAACTCGTTATTGTACTTATCACGTTTCACCTGTGGAACACACACAGGGTTTATGTCTTAATGCTCTTATAGCTTAAGGACTGAGCACAGTGCCTGAAACTCAAGAAGAACTCAAAAACTATTTGATAAACAAATTCATACACAAAGTCACACCTGCTGCAGGTTGCACAGAAACACACAATGAGAGAACACACTTTCAGGAAGTCACATCTGGGTTGAACTACTAAGGAAGTCCCTCTTCAAGTAGGGTTATTAATCCAAGAATGAGCTGGAGTGGGAGGTCTATTAGCTGAAAACCTTTAAAATTTTTTTTTTCTTTTTTTGTAACAGGGTCTCACTCTGCCACCCAGGCTGGAGTGCAGTGGCGTGATCATGGCTCACTGAAGCCTCGACCTCCTCGACTCAAGCGATCCTCCCGAGTAGCCGGAACTACAGACGCATGCCACCACGCCCAGCTAATTTTTTCGTTTTTTTGTAGAGACGAGATCTCATTATGTTCCCTAGGCTGGTCACTAACTCCTGGGCTCAAGCGATTCTCCCACCTGGGTCTCCCAAAGTGCTGGGATTATAGGTATGAGCCACCGCGCCCGGCCTGAAAGAATATTTCAGCTTATCTTTCAGCAGGAATGATGCAGGAAACGCTGAAATATGCGCCCAACTAGGGTCCGGTTTCCCCGCCTGTCGCTGTCCACCAACTGCAAGATTCCTGTTACTAGTTCCCACCTTCGGGAGCACGTACGAAGGGCTGCCAGGCCGCGCTCCTCACCTTTTCTCTGGGCTTGATATATTTGTGTAGCACCCCGCACAGTTCCAGGTAGGTTCCATACCACTCGAAAGCTTTCTTTCCTCGCTGCTGGAAGAACTTCTCCCAATAGTCAACGGAGCCAAACTCCTTGGAACTTTTAGGTAACAGGTTCATGTTCCTACTACCGGAGCTGCGTCTTCAAGACTCCCCTATTCCCTGTGAGGTACCATCTGAGGAGCTTGCCCACCACACGCAGGCTCCGGGATACTGCAGTGGGAATTGTTTCCACGGAAAAAGAGTCACATTGATTTGTTCCCCTACTCCAAACCCCACAGATGACCCTTACACGACAAACGCACGCGCGGGCCACTAAATCTCACAGACTCTCGCCCTCTCCTCCGCGCCTGCTGTCCCTGCCCCACGTGAAGAGCCCTCACACTTTCTCAGAGCTAGATTTCCCAGCCCAGCAAACAGATCCGGGTACGAGGCCTTGTGATTTGTCGGCCGACCCATCCCATCGCAGCTAGTCATTGGTCGTTGCTTTGCGTTTCTATCACCTCATTGGCTGCGACGTGTACGCCTTTCGCCGAAGACTCCGTCGCAGCCACAAAAAAGATTTTTTTTAACTTGAGGCCGGCCGACCAATCACGGGGCGGGACGGGGCGGGACCGCGGGGGCCACAGTTGGGGCGGAAGAGGCCGGGCCTCCGTGAGAACAAGATCACATCCGGGTTCCGTGTGAGGGAGGCTGTGCTGGGGCTACGCCCTCGGGCTTCCCGGGTTCGGCGTCCGCCTGTCTTGTAGCCGGCTTTATCACCCACTCAGATCGTGCGCTATACAGGGGCTGAGCATGGCAGGCGGGGAGCGCACTGGTATAGGAGGCCCCAAAAAGAAAAACCCGTACAGATGGGAGGGAAGTGAGGCAGGAAATGAGTAAAGCCAGTCCGTCGTAAAAACGCTGCGCATTGTAACCATGTTAGCTTCTGCGCTCCATCCCCCCGCCTTATTTTGCCCCCTCTGCACCAAAATACAGGATTCTGTTACCAAAGTGTAATAACGTGAAAATTCAGGAGGAAATAGTAACAGCTAGGCATTCAGAGGTGCCTCCTCTCCCTCTTGTCCCTTCAAAGCACAGTATGCAAAACGTTAGCCTTTCGTTTTGATAATTAGCCTCCATGTTATTCTGACGTTATCTATAACTTTATTCTATATGTTTGATAAACATACTGTACTTTCAGATGCTGATGCTAATACCCTGAGGAAGTTTCCGTGAAGGGTGCTTTTTTTTTTCAGACAGGGTCTCACTCTTTCGCCCAGACTGGAGTGCAGTGGTGCAATAATGGCTCACTGCAGTCTCCACCTCCCAGGGGTCGGGGGATCTTCCCACCTCAGCCTCCCAAGTAGCTAGGACTGCAGGTGCATGCTGCCACACCCAGCTATTATTATTTTTTTTTATAAATGGGGTTTTGCCATGTTGTCCAGGCTGGTCTAAAACTCCTGAGCTCAAGTGATCATCTCACCTCAGCCTACCAAAGTGTTGGGATGACTGGCGTGAGCCACAATGCCGGCAGGCACTATTTGAAAATGACCAAACCTGCGTATAATTGGGCCTTTCACACCGTGATAAAATGCAGGAGGAATATACAGATTGAGACGAGCAGATAGGCTTAGAATAGAGCATGTGTACTATGGGCTGTTATATACCACACTAGCACAGGTAGATAGCCGGGTAGACTGTTAATTGTTAAGTAGGTTAGATTGGACTTAAACGTTGGTTTAAAAGAGTGATTCTCAAACTGGCATGCATCAGAATCACCTGGAGGACTTGTTAAAACAGAATTTTCCGAGACCCACCCACAGTTCTAAGTCGTTGGTTCAGTGGATTTGTGTTTCTAACAAAAGTTTCCAAAATGCTGCTGATGTTGGTCCTGGAACCACACTGAGAACCACTGTTTTAAAATACAATTAGGAGATAAGTCAAAATGGGTATGGTTCCAAATTCGCAATTTTCAATGGTTAATCTAAAAGCTTTCCACAAGTAACATAAAAGAAAATCTGTTTCCATGCTCCCCTTGCTGAGTTCACATTGTTCCTCTCTACTCAGGATCAAGAGGAGTCCTTGAAGTAGCTTAAGCTGCTACATCATGCAAGGTTCTGAATGGGTGAAATGTGGATTCTTTAGGAAGCACTTATTGAGAACTGAGGACATCACTTGTGCTGAATGTGCTACACAATACCAAAGAAGCAAAACACCACAGCAGCCGGACACGATGACTCACACCTGTAATCCTAGTACTTTGGGAGGCTGAGGCGGGCAGATCACTTGAAATCAGGAGTTCGAGATTAGCCTGGCCAACATGGTGAAACCCTGTCTCTAATAAAAATACAAAAATTAGCTGGGCGTGGTTGTGTGTGCCTATAGTCCCAGCTACCCAGGAGGCTGAGGCAGGAGAATAGCTTGAACCCAGGAGGTGAAGGTTGCAGTGAGCCGGGAAATCGCACCACCACACTCCAGATTGGGCAACAGAGGGAGACTCCAACTCAAAAACAAAAACAAACAAACAAAAACCATAGTAGCTGCTCTGTGCACCCCCAAAGCTTTATTCAATTCAATTCAACAAATATGTTAATGGTCTAATAAAAGCCAATCACTGTGGTAGAAGCTAAGGATGCAGTGGTAAGCATGATAATCACGGGGAAGGCACAATAAACAATTACAAAAATAATTTGTAATGGGGGTTATAAGAGCTGTGAAGGAGAACCATACCATTCCATGATAGGATATATCTTTGTGACCTCTACTGATCTAGGGGATGACCAGAGAAGGCTTCTCTGAGGAAAGAACAAAAATATTATATAATCTGACTGCTTAAAATCAGCAAGACATAGGTTAAAAAAAACAAGAAGCATGGTTCACCCTCTGGAACCTTTACAAGAACTTTTGGCTGCTGCTTTTCCCTCTGTCTCCATTGTTTGTTCTGTTAAGGGCATGTTACTAGAAAAGACAAAGTTATTGCTATCACAGCCCAGGCTCTAGCCCCTTATTTGATGCTCAAAAAGTATGATTACTGTTTTGGCAGTATTTTTCAGACCAAGAGGGCAAGTAACTTACCTTTTTCCATCTGTGCCTGTCTCCCTTCTGTGAGCATAACAAAGCAGTAACAACAACAACATTTTAAGCTAAAAATACTAGAGATTTTCTAAAATTGTAAGAATAACACAGAAATATTTTAGATATAACATTAGACCCTAGCATTAATCTTTTAAAATACTTATTTGAAGCTTATTTCTCTCAATGTTTAACTATGAAATATAATTTTTAGGTATGTGTTATCATTAGTATACTTAGTTAATTTAAGCCAATTAGATGATAAAATGCTTTTATGTTTTATTAGGATCCCAAGTGGTTACCATTATGATTTAAAATGCAAGCTAAATTTAGATATAAAGCCATTTAGTATTGTGGAGTTTCTTTTTTTCTAAAAATATAAATCCAGACCTCTGGATATATAATTTGCAGTCAGACTTACTTAACTGAAACATACTCATAATTTTGGTGATAATAATCAACTGATTGTTGCTATGATTAATTGCAAAATAAGAAATAGGAAATAAAAAGCATCTCTGACAATTTGGGAGGCAGAGGATGGGAGAGGCAAAATAATGCTCCCCCCTCCAAAGATGTCTACCTCCTAATCCCCAGAACCGAAACTGTAAATGTGTCAGGTTACAAGGCAAAGGAGAGTGAAGGTTGTAGATGCAATTAAGGATGCTACTCAGCTGAAGTAGTGAAATTATCCAGCTAAGCTCAATGTAATCACAAGGGTCCCCCACTTTTTTTTTTTAAACAGAGTCTTACTCTCTTGTTAAGAGAGTAAGAGTCTCCAAGAGAGTAAGACTCTCTTACAGCCTCGAGTGCAGTCTGGACTGTCTGGAGTGCAGTGGCACGATCTTGGCTCACTGCAACCTCTGCCTCCCAGGTTCAAGCAATTCTGCTGCCTCAGCCTCCTGAGTAGCTGGGATTACAAGCGTGTGCGTGCCCAGCTAACTTTTGTATTTTTAGTAGAGACAGGGTCTCACCATGTCGGCCAGGCTGGGCCACAAGAGTCCTTTAAAGTGGAAGAGGGAGAGACAGGAGAGCTTGGTCCAATGTTTCTGGCTTTGAAGATGAAGGAAGGCAGCCATGAACCAAGGAAAGGGGTTGGCCTCTAGAAGCTGGAAAAGGAAAAGAAATGGATTCTCCTTAGAGGCTCCAGAAGAAACACAGCCCCGTTGACACATTTATTTTAATTTATTGAGACTTGTCAGACTTCTGACTGACCCAACTGTAAGAAAATAAATTTGTATTGCATATGGCACTAGTTTTTGGTAATTTGTTACAGTAGTGATAGGAAACTAATACAGAGCATAAACAGGGCGGGGAGAGAGAGAGAGAGAGTGCGCGAAAGAGAATGTGTGGTTGAGGTTTTTGAGGAGTCTTCAATTCCACATATTTAGCTTCAGGCTGTCGGGCCACAGGAGGTCAACAGAGAACCAGGGTCATGACAGAAAGACCTGATCTGAGAGATGTTCTCAGGAAAGACTGAGGTGCTTGATGACTGATTGAATAGGGGGAATAAAAGACTGAGGGACTCATAAGTGGCTCCCAAATTGGCCTCTGGATGACTGAGGAAATAGTCTGTAGAAAGAAAGCGGGAAGGAGAAAGGAGTATTATTTGTGCAATTGTTACTTGAAAAGAATTTAGAGGTTATCACTCCAGTAAAAACCGGAGCCAGAACTAAAAGCTAGTCTCCCCACCCTGCATGCCTATCCCACGGCTCATACCCTTCTCACTTCCTGTCAGTGGTATCCAACTGGAGTTAGTAGGTCCAAGACATTAAAATGTTTCATGAGTGGGATATAAAATTGAGTAAAGGGAATCTCTCTTTGGTATACAGGAGTGGCTCATATAATGCTGGAAACTATTTCATATTGGAAATCATCTTAGGAAATGGGTTTTCCACATTTGAGAATTTTAAAAATGAATGTTCTCCTGTGTCTTGGGATAATGGAAGGCAGGCATAATAACATACTAGGGTAACATTATGCCATTTTATTAGCTGAGTGTTAACACTTTTCTTGACAATACTGTTGACCTAAAAAGTGACTATCGAGCTGACACTGGATTCCTAAGATTGGGACGATCATAATAGCTACTTATTTATTTAAGACAGGGTCTTCCTTTGTCACTCAGGCTGGAGTACAGTGGTGCAATCACTGCTTACTGCAGCCTCGACTTCCCAGGCTCAAACAATCCTTCCACCTCAGCCTCCTGTGTAGCTGGGACCACAGATACAAGCCTCCATGCCTGGCTAATTTAAAAAAAATTTTTTTTGTAGAGACACAGGGTTTCTGTATGTTGCCCAGGCTGGTTTCAAACTCCTGGCTTCAGAGGATCCTCCCACCTCAGCATCCCAAAGTGCTAGGATTACAAGTGCGAGACACCATGCCCAGCTCATAATAGTATTCTTTAGTTTGTATAGCACTTGTGATTGACCAAGAACTTTTCTCATACATTACTTTGAATTCATGGGAAGGAGGTTCAGAGCTGCAGAGTTAATTTTCACACTGGCAGAGAATCTCTTTGGGAGAATGTGCCAGCCTTATACAAGTTTAACAAATTAGTATCAACGTAGATGATTACACACTGCTTTCTTATGTATGGAGACATACATATACCTATACATATGTAATTGAGGCAAAATTCCAATTGACTAAAAATAAGTGAAAATAGTTATATATGACTGAGTGAATTCAGCCATGACTGCCTCTGGGTATCATATTTGATTCCCAGGGTTTTCTTTGTGCAGTAGTTTCCCACTTTGTCACTAAGGGCATCTGGTGATGGA